TTTATTTAAATATTTTAAATATTAAAAAAAATAAATCATAACTAAATTTATGCTATTTTTAAGCTAAATTGTTACACGAACTCTACAGCTTAAGGGATAAGTATGTTCTTTTTTTAAATCACTCTAGCACTAAAATATTTCTAATTCTGCTTTAATTAAGATTTTAAAATAGACAATGTTGCTATTAAAGACAGTTATATTAATTTGACATTCTATTTATAATTTAATGTTAAAGCAGATCAAAATTACTTGATATCACCTTTTCAAGTTTAATATGATTATATAATCATATAAAAGCTATGTACTAGTTTTATTTCAATCTGGCTCATTTTCAACTATTCTAATTAATTAAATGTTAATAATTTGATAACACATAAATATATACTATAATATACACTAACACCTTTTCTTTATATATTGTAGTTGACTTTATTTTGATCTGGTTCATATTTGACTATTCCAATTGATTAAACATTAATAATTTGATAACACATAAATATATACTATAATATACACTAACACCTTTTCTCTATATGTTGTGGTCGACTTTATTTTGATCTGGCCCATATTCGACTATTCCAATTAATTAAACGTTAATAATTTGATAACACATAAATACATACTATAATATACACTAACACCTTTTCTCTATATGTCGTGGTCGACTTTATTTCAATTTGGCCCATATTCGACTATTCCAATTGATTAAACATTAATAATTTGATAACATATAAATACATACTATAATATTATATATACTAACACCTTTTCTCTATATATCATGGTCGACTTTATTTTAATCTGGCCTATATTCGACTATTCCAATTGATTAAACATTAATAATTTGATAATATATAAATACATACTATAATATATACTAACACCTTTTCTCTATATGTTGTAGTCGACTTTGGTGTCCCAGGAATTTATAGCGCAAGAGTTAGGATAATGATCAGGATTTGCATTAATGGCATAATTTGGGGTTGCATAAAATTAATTAAAAGTTTAAATAGTAATTGTATAAACAATGTGGTAATCATTAGTGATTAGTAATAATATCGATTGTATAAGCAATAAGAAAATATATAATAATTAGATAATATAAGCTTTGAAATATAATACTATCGAGTTTTAAATATTTAATAGTTATTCAAGATTCAAACTAATCAAAAAAAATTTATGGGGTTTATATGACAATAAAATTGGCTATATTTGCTAGTTACAATAAACTTTAATATTCTTTTACATTAATTTGATACATACAATAACTTAATTTAAAATAATTTTTAGGAAATTTACATATATTAGCATAGTGCCCAGTTCCATAACAATTACTACAATGATGGCCCTCACTTTCAGCACAAAATTTTCTTCATTTATTTTATTAATTTGTTTTTTTAATGGAAGTTCTTTAATATATTCACTTTTAGCATCTGTTTTTATTATTCTTCTCGATTTATTCTGCTTTGAATTTAAATTTTGGTTTGTATTTAAATCTTGAAGTATACTTTGTATAGAATTAAACAACTTTGGACACCCTTTGTGCTTCAATTTTTTGGGATTTTCAATCAGAGTAATGTCGACTATTACATGCTTATTAGTGGCAACTCCACTATAATTTTCAATAAACTTTACTATTAGTCCTTCAAATTTATTAATTAATCTATTTTCAAGAGTGAATTTTAATCCACTTTTTGCTATGTCAAATCTATAAGCATATTCTTGCTTTTGAGTAACACAGGCATGAATGCTAGCTTAATATGTATTGGGTCTGTGAATAGCTATGACTTGATTCATCTCTTTATTTGTATCAAATTCCATAATATTAGCAGTGTCAGTATCTGTAATTATAGAACAATTTGATATTTATATTGGATTGGTATACCAATGATTAGATATGAGTTTAATATCAATTTAGCATTGCGAGACATCTTGAAAATAGCAAAAAAATGTCAGCAATAAAAACCATTAAAAATAATATATAAACAAGTACAAAGATATGTATTATCCTTTAAAAGAATAACATAATGAGGGTAACTATAATTGTGCTAATCAAATAAAGAAACATGCCAAATTTCAAGAATGTTGTCATAGTTAACCATATTAATAATATTTTTAAGTGAAGCTTGCAATGCATTGTATTTATATTTAAAGTATCTTTCTGCATATTCATGAGTACTAGAAAACTACAAAAATATTAACTCAAGTAAAAAAAATAATAAAATGACAACTATAAAATCATACCAATGTAGAATTATTTGAGACTTAATATAAACATACATGTTATAATACACTTTGTAATATTTGAGCATTTTGCATTGAAGCAGATTCTAATATCAAATATTTCTTAATTGCATTTTGAACAAGTTCAAAAAAGACACTTTGAATACTAGGAAGTCCCCAGGTAGGTAAAGCATTTTTATACTCTGATAATTATTGGTATTTCGCCTCATGTTCAAGTTTTGCTTGAATAACTTTAACTAAATTAAGAAGTGATGTTTTTGCATTAACTTTAGTTTTAATGAGCCTATTAGTGCTTTCTACTCTTTGTATGCTTTGCATACTAGCACAAAAGGATGTAAATATATAGATCTTGGCCCATGATTGTTGAGATTTCCAAAGTTGATTCAAATAATTATTGGCTGTGAGATATTGATTTAATAGCTTTTCCCAACAGTGCTCTAGCTCTGCTATACTACAACTATTGCAATATTGATACTAGCTTTGTAAAAAATCATTATAAGAATTGCCAAGTTTTTGAGCCAATTTTTTTGTAATATTTGTATAAATATGAAAGATACAATAATTATGTTTTGTCATAGAAAAAGTGCTAATAGCAGAGATCATAGCCAGATCTGCATCAGTAAAGATCACTTTTGGAGGCAGATTGTTAGTCGCTCTTAAGATACAATTCAAAATCCACTTATATAAACTAATGGTTTTATTTTAAACAAGTGATTGTGCTACAATTCTCACTTGGTGATAATTATTGGCAATTACAAAAAAGTTTAATAACATATTATAGGCATTTGTTTTTGCAGTGTTATCATTAACTACTACATCATGATAACATTTCTACAATTCTACTTGAATTGGTGATATTCAAAAAAGTCATGAAAGATTATTGTCGATATCCTCAAACTTAATATAAATAGCCCATCCTGGCTCCTGCTCCTTTTGTTCTATAAGCCATTTCACCATATTCAACACATTATTCTCTCTATTATTTCCCATTTGATTTTTATATTGACATATAGCATTATGCAAATCACGATTATACAATGGTTGGTTGAGAATTTTTTTATAATATACCAATGTTGGGCTTTTGTTCCAAGACCATATTACTAAGTTAAAAACTTAATTTTATTAAGAACTTCTTGTGAAAGTATATGTAAACTTGGGGCAAACTCTTTCTGGTATAGTACAAAGAGGTGATTATGAGCTTTAACTAACTTATTAATAACAATAACTATGATATCAGAATTTTTTTGGCATCCTATATTAAGCTGCCACTGGCATCTAACCTTTTTGGATTCCCTATCCCTTTGGTCTTCACTAACAATCTTTTTTTTAAATTGATGCTCTTTAGAATTTTCACAAATGACGTATTGTTGAATTATAACACTAGTATTATCACACTCTATTCAAAATTTTATTGTCTTGAACCCAATTTCTGCTTTATATTTTTTTAATGTATTTTTTAGAGATTCCCAACTAGGAAATTCAGCACCATATTTAATTGTAAAATCATCAGTTTCTTTAGCACTATCAAATTCATCATCATCTGGTTGTTTATGAGCTAAATGTATAAATTTTTAGTTATTACAATGTTGCTCTTGCGCCACATATATATGATCTTTTAGTTAAATAATTAGTTAAAGAAAGATTAATAAGATCAATTGATACAAAAATACTAAAAAATTACAAGTAAGTGCTAATTTACCATCTCCTTCACCATATGTATAAGTATATAAATTAAAAAGTAAAGGTTCTAAAATATTATTTAACATAGTCACGGGTTTATTACTGTGACTTGGAGGTATATGATTTACTAGTAAAAAAAAAACAGTAATTACTAACCAACTTCTTAACTCAATATTTTTTTTTTAAAAAAAAAAGTGCTAATTTACCATCTTTACTATATATATAAGTATATGAATCAAAAAGCAAAGATTCTATATTATTTGTAATAGTCATGGGTTTATTGTTTCAACTTGTAGATATAAGGTTTACTAGAAAAAAAATAATAATTATTAACTGATTTCTTAATTTAGTTTTTTGCAAAAGAAAGTACTAAATTACCATATTCTTTTTTTTATCATATGTATAAGTATATAAATCAAAAAGCAAAGGTCTTGAAATATCATTTGTAATGGTTATGGGTTTATTACTGCAACTTAAAAATGTTACTAGAAAAAAAAAATTTCAACAATTCAACTCCAATTTTACCAATAGTGGTGAAATTACTTCATTAACATCTTTATTTCTAATTAAACATTTTGCTAAAAAACAAGCACTAATTTACTTTCTTCTTTCTTATATATACAAAGTCGAAAAGTGAAGATCCCAAAATATCATTTAACATGGTTATAGGTTTATTACAGCGACTTGAAGACATATAGGTTACTAGAAAAAAAAAAAAAATCAATGATTTAACTGACTTTTTAAATGTTTTGCTAAAAGCAAATATTAATTTATTTTCTTCTTTACTATATGTTAAAGCATATGAATTGAAGGACAAAGGTCTCAAAATATCATTTGACATAGTCACAGGTTTATCGTAGTGACTTAAAAATGTATAAATTGCTAGAAAAAAAACAACAACAATCTGACTAGCTTAACTCAATGTTTTTGCTAAAAAGCAAGCTCTAATTTACTATCATCATTTTTGTTATATATAGAAGTACATAAATCGAAAGGCAAAGGTCCCAGAATATTGTTTGACATTTTACAGGCTTATTATAGTAACTTTAAGACAATGATTTATGCTAAAAATAACAGTGCTTGATCTAAGAAATATATAAAAATATAAAATGAGTGCTTGATCTAAGAAATGTATAAAGGTGTAAAACGGGTTTCTAAGTTTCTAACTATTTTTATATGATCTCTTTAATTTATTATACACTATGCATTTATTATATAATTATTTACTATTGCTATATATTATGTATTATAAAATATTAATGCAACTGATTCATTGTTTGCACGATAATTTAATCTCCGATTTGTATAACAAAAATATCCTGCGATATTGCAATAGCAAAATCGCAACCTGCTATGTTTAACATAATCCTAATTATAATTATCCAACATCCCAATATGATCACATGATAGGGATTTACGTGTTATTTTTTTACACTTTTATCACTAAAATTGTATTAGAGTTTTTATATATAGTTATTTCCCCATATAAGCTATTATTACATATTGTTATTTCCCCGGAAAATATCAAATTTTTATTTTTTTTAATTGGGAAAAAACATAGTTAGGAATATAAAGCTGAAAATACTTTAAAATTCTAATTTGTATAATTTGTAATAAAAGAAATTATATAAAATTCAAATATATTATTTCATAGTAATTTTTATTTCAATATTGCAATTAGAACAATTTTCAACAATAATTCGTGGCATTTCTTGAGCAGTATTTGAAGTAATAGCCGGAAGAATCTTTTGTATATCTTCTTCAATAATTTTTGCCGGAAGAATCTCTTGTGTATCTTTTTCAATAATTTTTGCTGAAGATCTTTTGAGTAGACTGACAAATGGCTTTGATGTATCGAATGGTTTAAAAGGTCTTGGTTTTGTAATTCTAGGATGAATTTGATGAGCTATTTGATTGTCTAAATTAGAAATAGGTACAAGTGGTAGTCGTGATGATTCTAGAGATTCTACAATATTTTGTCAATTAATATTATTCTAAAAATAAATTATTAAAATAAAATTTATAATTACCCGGAATAATCATAGCAACAGTAGTATTTATTATTTCTTTTGTGAAAGTTTGATATGAAGCAACACCACCAAGTGAACAATGTCCACTAAATGCTATAATTCGATCAGTATTTACATTAAGCTGTGTGAGAATCTGAATTGCAGTTCTTCTTAGTGAATAATTGGTTATTTTTTTTAGGTTCATATTAATAACACCCATTATTTTATATATTTTTCTAATCATTTTTTCATGAGCATGGTGTCCAAGTGGAGAATCATAAAACCAGACACCTTTTTCGAAATCTAGTAACAAAATGCATATTAATTGATTATATAATAGTAAGAAAATAAAAATAAATAAATACCTTTTTTATAAGCAATTTTTTAAGAAAAATTCTTTTGATGTAAAATGTTTTCCACGCCGAAGCATATAGTATAAAATATCACGAACTAGAGTAAATTTATCTTGTATATCAGGTGGTATTCAATATACTTGACCTGAATTATTTAAATTTATCAAACCACCTGCATGATTCTTTTCACGAGGTATAATAACAGTTAGACTATTCGAATCACCTTCCTTTACATTATCAAATTGAAGTCATTTGGCATCTCTATCATGTAAGCTACACAAGAGACATAGCCAAAAGTAAACTCTATACATAATAGCAGTAGGTGTATCTTGTAAAAGTTCTTCATGGTTCAATATTTGAGCTATTTCATTATTTGTAAGTGAATTACTTTTATTAACTCTTTGCGAACTTGTATCTTGAACTAACTTAATTTTCCCATCAATTGTTGAGTATAAACAGAAAAATTGATTTTTATCGAATATATTTGGCTTGGGATCTTGACAGGATTTATTTAAAAGATGCCGGGCAATTCCACAGTAACAATTGTGAATTGATGTAGGTGCATATGGTTGTCTATCCTTTCTTTTTAAGGCAACAAAAAATCTAATAAGAATATCTTCCAACTCAGTATGATCTTTAACTTGTATAATATCACCAGGAAGACTTAGATTTTTAAAGTATTCATTGATTGTATTTACTCAAGTTTGGGTATTATGTTTAGTATTTTCCACTTTAGAATAATCAATAATGTGATCAATGTCTTTCTGAGAAGGTGCTTGAAAATGAAACTAAAAAAAAGTTAAAAGTATTATAAAATATTATAATTTCTATTAACTAATCCAAATATAAAATAAAAACCCTAGTTCTATCTTCGTTTTGACCTTATTTATCACTAGTTTCAGATTCGTTCTCACAAATATAATTATTATCAAGAATGCCGTCACTACTATCAATACTGTCAACAGAGGTACTAGAAGTGAAAGAAGCATTGAAACAGTCATTATTCTCTCTATACATTTGTGTGGCTGTTATAAAATCATTACTATTCGATAGGTTCATTTTAATATCTGATAAAAAAGCGAAAGAAATCGATAGAAAAAAAAAATTACAATTATACTTTTAATATATAATAAAAGTTTAATACATTAAATGAATATATATATATTTCTTTTTTTTTAGCCTGGTAATTTTCATAAATTAAACTTTCTATAATATGATAAAAGATTTAATTAATAACACAAATCACATCATGTTGTCATATGGAACAAAGGATAATTAATTTATTCTCTGGGTTGGGGAAATAAATAGTATTTATATACTATCTAAAAGTTATTTTAAATTTTTTTTTTTTTTTTTTTTTAATGACACTGCCTTTTTATTACTCATTAATATAGATGGATTATACAACACATACTTTTACAACAGATATTCAGTATATTATTGGTAATCTCTAACTTATTAGTACCTGCTATGCTGCCATCACCGAGTTTGTATTTCAAGCCACCTTTTGTAGTACTGCTGTAACCCAGTCTGTATCTCAAGCTATAACCTTTCTAATTATTATCAAGAATGCCGTCACTACTATCAATACTGTCAACAGAGGTACTAGAAGTGAAAGAAGCA